GAAGAGAGCTGACTTTCGAGATTGGTGATTATGTGTACTTGAAAGTGTCACCAATGAGAAGTGTGAGAAGATTCAATATGAAGGGAAAGTTAGCACCAAGGTATATAGGACCTTTTAAGATCCTAGAGAGACGTGGAGAAGTAGCTTATCAGTTGGAATTGCCTGAGAGCTTGTCCGGTGTGCATGACATGTTCCATGTTTCCCAGTTGAAAAAGTGTCTGAGGGTACCAGAAGAACAAATTCCTTTGGAAGAACTTGTTGTCAAGGAAGATCTTACTTATCAAGAGTATCCGATAAAGATTTTGAAACTGCCGAAAAAAGAGTTACGAGAAGCGAACAAAGAAAGATGTGCAAGGTGCGTGGAATCGTTATCTGAGAGGATGAGGCTACTTGAAAAGAGAAGAGGATCTAAGAAAGACTTATCCCCAGCTGTTTGAGTAAGCAATCACCCGAATCTCGAGGACGAGATTCATCTTAAGGGGGGTAGAATTGTAACACCCAAAATTTTTCATTCTTTTGAAATAAGTAAATTTGATTTAATTATGTTATTAAGTGTGCATTCAATTATAGGAAACTAATAATTTTTGGGGAATTAAAATCAATTATAAGATTTGAAACTTTTGATGCATACATACTGCTGCAATATTTATTCATGTGATGATTGTTCTTGAATTAGAGTTCAAATGAATTCAAAAATTATTTGAAAATGCCTTTGGGAAAATTCGTTTGGAAAATAAAAAGGAAAAATGAACATCTCCTCCCCATCCTTGTTTTGGCCCGCGAGCTATTCCCTGGCAACCGCTGGCCCAGCTCCTCTCTCCCCTTTCGCTTTCGGCCCTGCCCAAAGAACAAGGCCAGCAACCGCCCGCAACCGCCGCGTGCCCGTTCCCGCCGCCGATGATGCGGGCCCACTTGTCGGCGCCGTCTTCACCCCCGCGCGTGCCTCGGAACCGCCCGGCCTGGCCGCAACCGTCGCCCACGAACGGAGTCGTGGGAGCGTTCCCCCCTGGTGCCTCGGCCGCTTCAAATAGCAGCCCGACCCCCAGCACCCGCTGCCCCCCGCTCTCGTTTTCGTTCTTGCCAAGCACCGAGGAAAGCCGCAACCGCCGCAGCCGAGGTCTCCGAGCTCCACCGTCCGCCTCCGCGCGAACCTCCATCACCGAGCCGTCTCCGCTCCGGTTTTCACCGTGGTGAGACTCGCCGTTCTCCCCTCTATCTCCCCGAGCAGTTTATTTCTCGTTTTTTTGGCTTCTCGAGCCTTGGCCGCGAGCTCCGCGAGCCATGGTCGCCGGCCATGGCGGCCACCGCGCTAGCCGCCGTTCCCAGCCACCGAAACGGCATGGCTGCGACCCCCCTTCTTCCCCGCGCTCACCGGTGCCCTTGGGGGTCCATTTGGTGAACCCTAGACCATAACCGCGTGCGACCGTGACCTCCACGTCGTCGGCAATGGCGCCTGGCCACCGGACACACTGTTCCGGCCGGCCCTCCCTCCCCAGGCCGATCCTAGCCACCCATCGCGAGATCAACGGCCAAGATTAGAAGTTACCCCTTCGCGGGTAATTTTGCTAAAGAGTCCCTGGACTTTTCTAAGTCCTAACCCGCAGCCCAAAGCGTATTTCCCGAATGCGCAATCCCATTTGGAAAGCGTAAACTCCACGGCTTAAGTCAAAAATATGTTTTCAGTAATTACAGAAATGCCATTTGAACTGTTTTGCTTATAAAATTGTCGTTTTAGCTCCGAATTGATCCATTCAAATCGCGTTAGCTTTGTAATTTCATAAGCTACATGTTGGAGCTACTGTTAGTCAAGTTTGGAACTTTTTAATTTCAGGATTATATTTAATTAAATATATGGCTATAGGAAAACCCGTTTAAATCATAACTTTCGCATTTTAGCTCCGTTTTTCGTGAACTTCGCGTTGACGTGATCGTAGCGAGACATAGGTTAGTTTTACAAACATTTTATCTTGATTTCAATACTGTTGGTGTACTGTTCTAATGATAGGAATGTTTGCTTTGCATGAATGCTTTTGGAATGTTGTATGTTGCTGTGTTGATCGCGTTCAGACGGTGAGGAAAACGTGGGAGACCAAGAACTCTTCGACGACCAGCAGGACCAGCACGAGTTTGTGAACCAAGGCAAGTATAGCATGGGCCTTCCTTGATGTCCTATTTCACTTTAATCAATTACTCATTTGCATGTGTCTAATTTTGATACCCGTAAGGACATCCTAGTGATTGTTTATCCTGTTCCTTGTCTCCTATGGGTTAAATGCATATGGGTAGATTGCTAGTGCTCTAACTGAACTTGACATACATGTTGATGAATGATACTATGGAACAAAGTGAGTAACATGATTTATAACAACTGTTCCATAGGGCGAAAGTGCAAATGACCTTTGTTCATGTTGCTCCCGGCCCTCCATAAGGACTTATATGTCGGCAAAAGCTAGGACTGACAGTGCAACCGGGAGAGTCATATGGCTCTGACTTTAGCTCAGTAATAGAACCTTTTCTAGCTAGTTAGAGGTTACCTTTTTGGCGCAAATGGGGCTTGCCACGTTGGGTATAGGGCTGCCTCTGTTCCTATGTGTATAGCCGTGATGGATATGTGCCATAGGAAATGGGGGGTTCCTACATCTGCCTGCCAAGGAAACCTAGCGGCCCTAACTTGTTAGAGAAACCTATAAAATGGCTTCATAGTGTACCCTGCCCGCTCACCTTGGTAGTGACATGGGAGTAATTAACCCGGGCATATGGGGATCACGACTCGCGGTGAATGTGCACCACCTCTGCAGAGGGTAACAAACTGTTATAACAGCCGTGCTCACGGTTACGAGCGGCCCGGAAAACTCACAGAATAACTGGATACTTGATGATCTTATAAAGTTGTTTAGTGATGACATATGGTACACATGACTCTGATATATGTTCTTATGGGAATTAAATGGAAGCTTAAGCATAACTTGATAATACTTGAGAATAAAAGCTTGACCTATTAAAAATGCTAACTGCAGTAAACCAGAGTCTATCCTTTTTGAGCTTCATAACCCCATGTTAGCTTGCTAAGTACGAAATGTACTTACACTTGTTTATTTTCTTTACTTGGATAAAAATCCCGGATGGGTAACAGATGACAACGGGTATGAGGATTTCCGAAGGATTATTAGGTTTGTGGTCAACCAGTTGACCTTCTCTGTGATGACGGCCACGAGAGTTTTATTATCTTTTTATTATTCTGCTGTGATGTATAAGACTAAGTTTTATTATAACTCTGATGTATGAGACACCGTGATGATACTTTATGTAATTTGTCAGCTTATGTGTGTGATTGATTTCTGGCCCACACAAGTTTTGTGCATTCAATTTTATCCTTAAAATTGAGTGTGACACTCATGCTTGTGGTCTTGCTGCTAGATAGCCCCTACGGCTTTGTTTGCTTGCGTGCATTATGTAGTGACGCTGCCCGCCTGACAATGATTACGAGGGGCTACCTATAGCCTCCGTCAGTAAAGAATCACACGCCTACTCCTACTCCTACTCCTACTCCTACTCCTACTCCTACTCCCTCCCTTATAAAAGGGTGTAATTCTATCTTTAGACCAAATTAAATATTTTTAGTTTTATTAAATTTATCAAAAATAGTATTAATATGAATTCATGTCTCTACTATGAAAATATATTTCTGATTAATCTAAGGCCCCATTTGGATCCTTAATTGAAATCCCTTCTAATAATCACACTTTAGGCACAGATCATTTAAGCTAATATGGTTGTATGCGGAACATATCTATATACTATTGTTGACCATATGGGGGAGATACTTATATGTTGTATTTCTGCTATAGGAGAGCGAGCCGAAGAGCGTGCTATAAGTTACAGAGTAGAAATGTAGCATGGTGATCTATAGAATCAATTTCCATCTTTCACCTTATAAATTTAAGTTAGGCTTATATATGAACTTTGGAAAGTTGTAGAATGTCAAATTCCAAGCCAAATAGTCTAGTTCATTAAGTAGATTCCAATTCCCCCAAAATAAAAGGATCCAAACAGCCCTTTTGGTATTTATTTGGTAACATAAATATTAGTATATTTTTAATATAGATTTGGTCAAATTTGATGACGATGATTGACTTGGGAAAAATTAAAATTGCGCGTCTTTTTGAGATGGATGGAGTAGATGATTTGTATTGAAGTTGGGATAGGGCCGCCTGTGTTTTTATTGCTTAATTTCACTCCTCATTGCTTCAACTCTATATGTCTAACATTTGCTAGTTACTCTCTCCGTCCCCGAATATAAGGCGCGATTTGACTTGGTGTGGTCTTCAAGAACATATTTTGACCTGTAATTTCTCTTATATATATAATTTATAGAAATAAAAGTTTGATCATTAGAAAATATTTCTAAATACAAATCTAATGTAACTACTTTTGTAATATATACCTTTGATATAATTAGGCTAATTGTTAGTCAAGATAACAAAGTTTGAATTTTGAAATACTTGCACGCCTTTATATTTGGGGAAGCTGGGACACCCAAATAAAGTCCCAAAGACACTTAGCATGTTTGTTATGCGTTGCTGCTGGCAATCATATGGAAACAAATGGAGGATACGCGCGCTAGTATAGTAGTGTACAATTTTTTCACAGGCAGTCAGGCATTGTAATCCCTCAATACTCTCTTGATCCATGCAAACTTTAATTTGATAATGCTACCGGCGGGCAGCATGCATATTTGTACGTAAGGTACCTAGCTTCACCCAGAGCTGAGCATGACAGTAGCAATCTGCAACAGCTTCTTCAGAAACATTGACTACTACTAGTAGTTAACATATGTGCAGACGGTACAAGCACGTACTTCACACACCAAGAAGAGCAATGCAAGCTAAAAACAAGAGCAACAGGAACAAAGAAACGGGATCCAGGAGCAAAACGATACCCTGGCCATACGAACCCATCAACCTACGTACAATATATGCAAGCACACTGCACACGCTCTTCTAGAGCTTCAAATCGAGATCAACCTGCCTCATTTGCTTCTCGCCGCCATGGCTGCTGTCTCCAAATGCTACAGCCGCGTCGTCGTCGTCCATGTGGTGAGCTCGACGAGGGTGTCCATCTGGCCGCAGCCGCAAGCCCGTGTCAATGGAGGTCACCGTGGCCTCCTGGAGGTCGTAGAGATGGGCACCACCATTGTTCCGCCCCGCGCTCCTCCTCTCCTTCCGGTGCGCGTTCTGGTGGCCCCCGAGCGCCATCGACGTGACGAACTTCTTGCTGCAGAAGGGGCACGGGAAGAGCCTCGCGCCGACGAAGACGCTGCCGCAGCTTGCATTACTGCCAGAAGAGGAGCGTGGCGGCGAGCTGGGGCCCAGCGTCAGTGACAGGCGGACGACGTAGTTGTCGTCGACATTGGTGGCAGTGGCTGGAGGATGAGGATGAGGAGGAGGAGGAGAAGGAGAAGGCTTCTCCATTAGACGACAGTACCACCGTGAGCTTTGCAAGCTTCGTTTGCTTGCATCAGTGAGCTGAGCTGCGTTCTTTGCTGGGTTGGATGGTGTGTGAGTGCCTGAGGTGAGTGTTACGGACCTAAAGTCACCATCGAGGAGCTATATAATAATGGATGTTCCCGGACATCTACGTAGAGGCCAGAAACCGCACAAAGGTGTTTGGTTTGTTTAGACACATGCATAGAATATTAAATATAGATTAATTACGAAACTAATTACACAGTTTACGACTAATTTACGAGATGAATCTTTTAAAAATATTAGTCTATGATTGGATAATGCAGTGCTACAGTAAACATGTGCTAATGACGGATTAATTAGTCTTAATAAATTCGTCTCGTGGAGTACTGACGGATTCTGTAATTTATTTTTTTATTAGTATTCAAACACCTCATGCAACGCCATTACATGACATCTCCTAAATTTTAATCACCGAATCCAAACACCCACCTACTAGATCTAGAGTTGCATTGTGCATGGGTACTAGATGGAGTACATGTAACTATAGATGGTTAAATGGATGGCACATCTCGATAAGAGTCGGGCCGTGCCATCCTAGTAGCTAGCAAATCGTGTCATGTCGTGTCGTGTCTGTCCATTAGTTGTGTCTTCGCTCTTCATCATGAGATTAAGAGTATTTTTATATCAGTTCGATCTATGAAATAGTAATGGCAGTTAGGCCCTATTTAGTTCCAAAAACTTTCAATCCAAAATGTCACATCGAATCTTGCGGCATATACATGAAGCATTAAATATAGACGAAAAAAAATTAATTGCATAGTTTGGTTGAAAATCGCGAGACGAATCTTTTAAGTCTAATTACTCCATGAAAAGCCTTAAGTGCTACAGTAGCCCCACATGTGCTAATGACCGATTAATTAGTATCATTAGATTCGTCTCCCAGTTTCCTGATGGGTTCTGTAATTTGTTTTTTTATTAATATCCAAAAACCCCTACCGACATCCTTCCAACACATCCGATGTCACACCCAAAAAATTTTACCTCACAAACTAAACACCCCTGGTTCTTCGGCACTGGTATACATGAGCCTATGGAGATTAAGAGTATTTTAATGTGGATGGACATGGACATGACCACATGAACAACTCGATCGACTTGTTGGGATGTGAAGAAATTAGAGAGAGAAAGGACGAAAAGGTTGCAACAGGATATAGCACTGTGTAGTTGCATGAATGGTCTAGCTAGGGTGCATATGTTTTCTTCCCTCTTTTCCTCACTGACACCTTCCAATTTTATAATCAAGGCAGAGTGCTCTATTTCCCGTACAAATCATGACAGCGGCGTTCTTCTGTTGATAATTTTACTACGGAGATTCACATGCACAAGTGTAAAATATTCACGGTGCTTAGTGATCGAAGGTGACGTATCCGATCGATACAAGATCCCCGTTAACTCTGATTGTTGTTGCCCTTTGCGCGGCCAAGCCGTCTCAGCTGCTCTCGTTGCTGATGTTGCGCTGGTGGATCGGAGTCGATCGGCTGGTTCGGAGGAGATGGGACCAATGCAAGTCATCATAGATCGGAGGCTCGGAGCTCTGCTCGAAGAAGGCCGCACCTAGCCTACGAGCGGAGTCGGCTCAGGACGTCGTTGCCTATGAGATAGAGCCTCCCTACTCTTCTTCGTGGTGGTCTCTCTCTCCACTTCCTTCTCTGGATGAGGGGGAAACCATCTTTTTCATCCTCCTCGTCCTGAGGAGCCCGTGCTCCCGCGTTGAAGGAGTTTGCTCCCACTTCTTGGAGGGCAATGGCGGCAGCGGCAGTGTTGTACTCACGGAGCACCCATCTCCGACTTGCGGCTTCCTAGTCGGCAAGGGGTCATAGACACACGCACCCCGACAATGTTATGTAGGACATATGACAATGATCATCAATATGGATACTCGGACAATCAATGTAAACAAAAGACCAGAGAAGATTTACTCGGCTTGGAGGTTTGGTAACTGAAAATGAAATCGGGTACCCATTCAAGTCTATACCTGGGGCCAATAGCCTCCCGAACCGGTTCTCCACCTGGTGGTTAATGAGGATGGTAGTCTCCCGAGTCGAGTCTTTATAAACCGCGAACTTGTACATTAGGTGGGCTCGAAGCTTTGGTTGACTGAATTTGATGGCCAATGAAGGTTGAATTTAGGTCGACTCTAGTCATACCCTTCTGCACCAGATCTTTGATGTGTCTCATCTAAGTCGTCACCTAATTTCCCTCATGGTACACCGACACGCCAGACCAGGAAAATTGGACCTTCGACAGATGTCCAACATACTCATGTAGCATCAATGTGATATTGCTGGCAATGTAAAACCAGTTACAATGCCACCCCTTGTCGAAGGAACCCATCGACATATCAAAATATTTTTTCCTTGTGTTGGACCTTATTTGAATCCTGGCTCCTCCAAAGATAGCAAGGTTCTTCTTGGTCGGCTAGACCCCAACTTGAATAGGCCAATGTGGGTCTCAATCCCTATGAAACACTCACACAAGATGATGAAAGCAGCAATATGCACCATCCCATTTGGGTTGAGATGTTGTAGCTCCAATTGATAATAATGAAGAAAGCTGCAAAGAAATAGGTTCACTTACACTCAAAAGCCCCAATCAAAGTACTAGATGAAGACGACGATCTCACCTATGTCAAATATAGGAAGGGCTCTCCGGCTGCATAGTGACATCCGACGAGCTCTTTTGCCTGCAACATCCCCAATTGGACCATAGTGAGGAGCTTTTGGCCTCCATCACCGTAGACTTAACCCAAGAACCCAATGGATCAATGAGTCATTCTTCACAGATGTGGCACCTCCTCCTCCCAAACAGTGGTCCCTCCTTCACCCTCACTTGCACCAATGGCGGTGGTGGATCAAGGTTAGGGTTTTGGCTAATAATCAAGATATGTGTGGCGACGTATAGGAGGTAGATCTAGGTTCAAAGATGTGGTAGAGTTAGTGTGTCTAGCCCATCAACAGTAGACTAATATTAAGTTGAACTTTCCTCGTTTTCTTAGTTATTGTAGAACATTTGTTTGTCCAACGTCCTAGATGACAGAACCAAGAATTGATTTTCATGATATGTGCACAATGCATTCTATACTAAAGGAGACAATAGGAAAGTAGTAAGTCCTAACTTTGCGTCTACTCTGCATACTTTGTTGTACAATAAATGGGCCAAATGGGCCCTCACATATTTCAAGAATATAGTTAGTAGGGAGAGAACAAGTTGTAATTGAAATTGGTGATTGTTCCTCTCCTTAATAAATATGAGGTCTCCTATAAATCTGATTAGCTAAGCAATAATCAGTTCCTCCAAGTGTCTAAATTACGTCTTTTGTTCAGAAAAAGTGATTCTTCAGCACGATTTGTAAATATTGTGCCCATGATAGAAAATGACTTGAGATATGGAAATAAAGTGATTTTAATTTGTCATGTCAAATATTAGGTTGCACAGATGACATTAATGTGATCAATCTCAATAGATGAGCGCTCTAACAAAATTGGGCCCACATATCAAGTTTAGATCTTTGTGATGGAAGTGGAACCATATTCCATAATTGTTCGATCAAAGGTACTGGCCATCTGAAAAGGACTAATGCCAATGTTAAACTTGAAGCTCTTTTTTTCTCAAGGTAATTAGTTCAAATAATCGAGAAACCACATAAAGGAAAAAAAAGCAAATTCCCAATTATTGGCATATGTGGAATAAGCATCTTGGTTGCCAAAACAAGATGGTTGGACTAATGGGTGTTGGGACAATCACAGACAACACTAACACACAACTAGTCAGTGGTAGCAGAAGCAACTTCAACACAATATTAAATAAGCCCAAAATCTGAACCCATTCACAAAGAGAAACACATGCATTAGGCATATATGGAGTTATAAAGGTAGCAACAGGGCATCAGCTAAAGACACCAAGATTTGACACCCCCCAAAAAGATCAATGTAAAAATCACAGGAGACCAAGGTAGCCATATCGTCTTCCGCTATTCGACTATTTACTTATGGGATTACAACAAATTTATCTCTAGATAACATCAGAGGCATCCGTACATTAAGATATGCAAATCTTGAACAACAATAAAAATAAGGTTTTTGGCTGCAACCTTATGACATAGAAGAACATCATCAGATGATGGTAGAACTCAGATCGGAGACATCGAAGATGCGGATCTACACCTTCACAACCTTGAGGACGAATTATTCTTGCTTTCTTGCAAGGTCTGTTCTCTAATCCCCTTCTCCATTCCATTTTTCTTCCCTCTATCTATTTTCGTGGTCCCAGGCTTAACTGTCACTCTAATACAAGTCTCTTCCTTCTTCCATAAAGCTTGCAACACAAGTAAATGTCCCCCAAGGTATGTAGACCCACATCATGTGGTACATATCTAGCTAATATCTTACATGTGTCTCATTTGGAGAATTTTAAATAATCTCCTCATCTCCCACATCATGAGGAGGATTTCGCAACCATGGATAATTGATGAAATGAAATAAATGACATGGGTCGGATCAATTAATGTCAACAGATCTAATGATGCTCCAACAAAATTGGGCCCACATAAAGTGTAGATTTTTTGTCAAGGAAATGCCAATGTACGGTATCCATAAGTGCCCGATCAACAGTGTCGATCATCTGAAAAAGACTGTTGATGTTAAATTGAAGTGTTTTTAAAGTCAGTGTAATTCTTTTTTCATAACTATTTCAAAACTAACTGATAAACCACATAAGAAAGCATGGTGAACTAATTAAGCGTCTAAGCCTCTTGCTTGCAGGAACAAGCTAGCTCTTTGAAGTAACAGACAATTATTAGTGAAACGAAACAGTTAGTAGTAAATCAAGGCTTTTAATATAGTAAATCAAGGCTTTTAATCAAGCTAGCCTCTTGCAGCTCTTGATCAGAAAGAGAGGCATAGCATATATGGCAGGCACCAAAAACTATTCACAAGTGATGCAAAGTGTGCCACATTACTACACTGGCTATCTTCTCTGACCCAGAGTCAGTACAAGTACAGTCCAGTCCCCCAATGCAACAAAATACAAACTGTATGTGTATGCAATTGGACAACAGCTTGACAACATTTTTCAATAACAAACCGTTGCACAATCGGTAGCAGTACGTACGTACGTACTTTTTTACACACTAGTTTTTAAAACAAAAAAAAAAAAAAAACTGCAAAAAGGAAGCAAAGAGAAATCAAAAGTACAAAAAAATATGTATAATACTAGCTCATGCATCATATATAATAAATAATATATTCAGCATGAGCAACAGCACGTACAGTATATATTACACGTAGATAGATAGACTGCTAGAGCTTGAGATTGAGGTCAACATGCCTCAGTTTCTCCTCCTCCACGTACCACCACGCCGTCATCGTCTCCAATGGCGCCGCCGCCGCACCGCCGTCCGCCGGCTGCGGCTGCTGGTGGTGGCTGCTTGTGTACTCGTGAGGGCGGCAAGTGTGGGACGCGTGGCTGCCGCTGATGGGTGTAGCGACCATGGCGGGATGAGAGTCGGCAGCGGTCATCGTCGTCTCCGCGGCCGCCGGGAGGTAGAGGTGGGCGTTCCACCCGATGCTCCGCTCCTTCTTGTGCGCGTTCTGGTGGCCCCCGAGCGCCTGCGACTTGAGGAACTTCTTGTTGCAGAAGAGGCACGGGAACAGCCTCACGCCGGCGCCGGCGCCGGCCCTGCCACCGCCGCCGGCTGCACCGTCGGAGCTAGAACTAGCGGCGGCGGCGGTTGTTGCGTGGTCGAGGGACGAGGAGGAGGGTGGCGGCGAGGCCTGGCCCAGCGTCAGGGACAGGTCCACGAGGACGTAGCCGCCGTCGTCCTCGGTGACAGACGGAGGTGGCGGTGGCGGTGGCGCCTCCATTGGGATCGGTCGGTCGGTCGGGGATCGTCGAGCTAAGCTACCACGGAGATCGAGCTTCGTTCGTCTTTTATCTAACATTAAGGCTGTCTCTCTTTCTTCTAGCTAGCTGAGCTGAGCTTCCATGGGCGAGTGAGTTGAGGACAGAGCTGAGCTCGATCTCTAGGTAGCTAGCTAGCTGGGGGCTGTGATTGGTGAAGGAGAAGGAGGAGGTACTCCTACTATATAACACTAGCAGGTAGGAGTACTAGCAGCTAGCTAGGAGGAGACGATGGCCATGGCAGCAAGCAAGGATGCCAGGATTGTGAATGGTGATGGAGATGGAGGGATATTATTGTGACACAGGCAGAAGCTACTAGCAGAAATCAGAAATGGCAAGCCCATCATGTCCTAATTCTGACGCTGCATTATTGGAGGGGCGAACTGCGTGCAGCAGCGGTGGGGCCCGCGCGCGGCAACAGCCATGAGGCCATGATCCCATGAGGAGGAAGAGAACAGGGAAGGGAAGACGAGAAGCAAGTTTATTTTGGTGCCCAAACACCAAAAGGAGGGTGAAGATGATTATATTGCCACAGAGATCACAGTTGGTGGTGGTAATCAACATCACACTCATGATATGTGCCTGCAGCTCCTCCCACATGTCATGTTCGACGTTCCACGTCATTTCTTTTATTTTTTATATATAGAAAATATAGGAAGAGAGGTAACTAATAACTAAAGGTCAGTCTTATAGGGAGTTTCACTGTTTTCCAGACTCACATGTATTGGAAATAGTGTAGGTAAGTTTCATTCCCATCGAACTCATTTTAATCCATAAAACTTTTATCATATCTCTCTTCATCAATATTATGCCACATCAGTTTATTTAATGCTCATGAAACTATCATGAAATCCTAACTGAGATAGGCCTAATAACCACATGTGTGATGGTAATTAGCTAGTATGATCTATCATCTATAATCGATATCCATGCATGTCAAAAGTAGTAATGACTTGAGGTTATTTATGTGTAGTTGATGACCGTACACTCGATAATTGCGCTTTCATTGTCCTTGCTCTGTCTCAAACCTTGAGCCTGACCCTGACTAGCTAAGGATTATATATGTGTGTAAATGCAAAAAAAAAATGTAGTCTGTCCTGTAGTGCATGGCATGACAAGTGGTCGAACAGCAAGGCTCCTGAGACGCCCATCTCCCAACGGCGACAACGGTGCTCCTACTAGTGGCTTGTTGGGAGTTGCGAAATGAAAGAGACGTATGGTTGTTTGGCATCCATCATCAATCATCGACGGAAATGTTCGTTGTGGAGAAAGATCAAGGAGGAAGGTCAAGCTCAGTGCATAGCGCGGGTGCTAAGAGGGTTACAGGCGTGTGGTTTATTTTTGCACTATTTTCCTTGGTCTTAATTTGTAGCCTCCTATGTGGGTGGACTTTTTGTTTTGTAAGTATTTTCTATTTCCTTCTCTATTAATATATAAACCAGACAAAACTCCTCTAGTCGATCAATTTAAAAAAAAACAAAAAGGAAAGACAAAATACAATGAACATTTATGCATCCAATTAAAGTAGGGTTGTCAAAAATAGCGGGAAAGTTTGTTAACAAGACATCCAAGCTAAACTTGAAGTTTGCATGACTCGATTTTGCAACAAGGAGGCCTAGTGGGCTGAGCTCGAGAGCAACTTGGTTATTGTGTGATAGCGATCGATCGATACAGAGCTGGTTGCTCACTCCGACCGGTAGTGCATGCTCTCTTGTCGATTCTCTCCTTTCCGATAACAGGACGCACATTATTGTAGAGCTAGCATGGAAATATCACAAGAGCTGGAAGTTGGGATAATTCTTGGTAGCTAGTAGTAATAAAATTAATTATATGTCAACACAGCAAGCTAATAAGGTTATTCTATACCACCAACAGCATGTCTTTGGAAAGCTAGGTTTCATGTGCCTTTCTCCTTTGGCGTCACGTCGCAAGTCCAAATGTGTTCATGTGATCATATCATGCCCGTCCAAGCAGGGCCTGTGTGTGTGCAGTTGTGATTGGCCAGCCGCCGTGCGCCATGATGTCGGCACATAATAGGGAACCCTTTCACAGCGACGAACGGCCCCCTTCTTGGGGTAGAGAAACCAACAAACCTGTGAAAACTACTGCTCCTCTTTGCCTCCTTTATTTCATCGATCAAAATTAAGGCCGGCCGCGTCCCATGCCATGTTCTTCTTGTTCGTTCTCACGTCACCTTTTGTTTGATCAGGTACGTACGTACACTTGTAGGCTAGAGAGAGGACGATAGAGATATGTACCAGATGTAGTAGTACTCTTCAACTTGATGGTGATTAGCTAGACAAGCGGTCACATGTCTGAGAGCACCTATTTTGACGGATTAATAAGTTCATATATATATGGAGCATCTCTGTCGAGTACCACATGGTACCCTAGCTAATTCTTTTATTTTTTTCTTTTTCTAGATAATATGGTACGTACCCTAACTGTACTTTCTGAAACAAGAATGACCACACATAGTTTGAGCGGCATGCATGGATAAGGCGGCAGCGAGAGGCAGAGGATGGACGGATAAATTAGGGCCGCGTTTAGTTACTTGCAGAATCAGCGCCGCCGGAATTCTCCGGCACTGTTTCGGCACTGTAGCGTACTGTAGTATTTCGTTTGTATTTGGTAATAATTGTCCAACCGTTGACTAATTAGGCTTAAAACGTTCGTCTCGCAAAGTACAACCAAACTGTGCAATTAGTTTTTGATTTCGTCAATATTTAGTACTCCATGCATATACCACAAGTTTGATGTGATGGGGAATCTTCTTTTTGCATAGTGCCAAAATTTAGATTATGAGGTAACTAAACAAGGGCTAAGGGCTAGCTACACGACACAATCTTTCGACATGCATATGGCGTGTGCTGTACTACAAGGTTATCATGCCCGGCCGTCGTCCTTTCTTTTTCTTTTTCTTTTCTGGGCCTGAAAGGCATCTGTCCACGTTTCGACCTTCTGCGCTAAAAGACAAAGAAAAGGTTGTCCCGCCACAAGGTTACCAGGGCTAGGTGCTTGGTTGTTTTAGCGGCAAAGCTTTTTCTTCTTTAAAAAGGTACTATATAATACGACAAACCACGTTCGACTTTGTTGGGCTATACTCATATTCACCTTAATTCATATATATTACAATGAATTGGATATAAATGCAGTCAAACAAGCCCTTCATAATTTTAGAGGATGTTTGTAGACTTGGACACAACAAATTCTCCGCAAAAATGCAGCTCTTCACAGGTTCAATCCTGCAAAAATCAGAGATGTTTGGAGGAAATTCAGAAACATGCCTAACTAAACAAGCATCGGATCGGATCCATAGAAAATGCATTAGATCAGGTTAATCGGTAGCATTAATCATCTAGTGAAAATTCAAAGCAAGATCGAACCAGAGTAAATAAAATAGAAAAAAACGCTATGTTCTGCATAACAAATACTAAGGGTGTGTTTGGTTAAATTGTGGCTTTTGAAAAAAATTGTTGTGAGTTATGGGCTGTGAGAAAGTTAAAAGTTATTTGGTTGAACAGCTATGGCTTCGTGGAAAAACTACTGTCATCGGCGCTCAAATGTCATCTGACCCCACATGTCAACCAACCACACCAAATCCATATCTCTATTTTTGGTCCACAAAGCAGAGGAGGCCATGGAGACACACTCGTCGCCTGAGCCGATGCTGGTGCCACGACTGCCGCCCGGGGCAGGGGCAGGGCCCGCGCTCACCGGAGCCGGGGTAGGGGCCATGCCCGCCAGGGAGGGGGCTCCGGCTAGCATGACTAGGCCGTCGACGTGCTGGTGCTCACGAATCCGTGGAGGACCGGCAACGGAGAGGAAGCCATAGTCGCGCTTCTGACCCTGCCATAGCCAAAGAAGAGAGTACGGGACCCACCCGTGGCCCCTACAACCATTAGCGTGGCCTTCCTGGCCGCTGACCTCCAACCTAGACGGCTCGGGCGAGGGCGCTCGCGAAGGCGCGATAGGAGAAAGGTGGCCACTGGGTGGAGCTCTAGCAGCCGGGGACGAGAGGACAGGGTGGGGGGAAGTAGCGTGCGCCGGCCACAAGTACAAGAACACGCCAGCGTCGGTGGTAATGGAGCAGGTGGAGGAGAGAAGTTGAAGTCAATTCAGGCATAGAATGAACCGGTATTCTTCATAATCCGCGGCGGGTAGGTAACTTTCATGAAATCCTCATGCCCACCTCCCGTGAAAGCAACTTGGAACCTGCTGTGAGAAATACACTACGTTAAAGCTGCTTTGGGTGGAAGCCAATGGATTAGTTTGGGCCGTTTGATTGGTTTTTGGCTTTTGGCTTTTTTTAAGCCAAAGCATGTTGAAAAACCCAACCAAAGGGACTCTAAACCTTCCCTGGAGAGTCATGCAATGCAGCAATGGAACCCAAACTTGGGTGAAAAGGTGGCCTCGATGGGGACGGGCCTAACCCTAAAAAGGCTTACAAGGCTATACATGGTATTTAAAAACACATAAACCTTGCAAAGTTAGGGCCTCTTTGACAAGGCTCCTAGTCCTAGGGGCTCCGGTTCTGGCTCCGGTTTTGAGAAGCTAGAGCCGATATGGCTTCGTCGACGTCCAAAAGGAGTTGAAGCCAGAGAAGTTGTGCCAAACAAACCTTTAGACTGTGAGAAATTAAAGTGCAGATGGCTCTTTGGAACCCCTCTGGTTTTGCAGGTGTGTTCTTGCAATTTTCTATTTCCTTGATTAGAATCAATGTTGGGTTCAAAGCAAGGAAAATAAATAAAAAGTTTAGTCTCCAGTAGCAAATTTGGCTCATTCCCCAAGGATTGTCCTCTCGTTGACGAGTCACTGCTGCTTGGTGGCACAGCTGCCCAACCACGAACTCCACAGTACATTGTGTTTGTTATGAACTTATGATGCCTATGAACTACCCCAGCTTCCAGCCAAGAGAAGCAGAGTGATGTGGTCCTGCCTGTCCTGTGAACTGACGCTGTGACCTAGACAGGTAGCACCAGAAAAGCAGAGACGATGCAGACGCATAGCTTTCCTTCAAAAGAGGGCTGGGGGAAAGCATTTCCACATGTTGAACATCCGAATCCCAAAGGGGCCTCCCGTTGTCATCTCATTTCAGGTGCCAGCAAATTTTCGGTAGATCCTTTTGCCTGTGTAAATACTAACCAGTTAAAATTTTTACAGCCAGCTGACCAATTATGCGCGAATTTGGGGTTCTTGGGGAAGAAACAGCAAAATTTCTGGGTCCATCACTGGAGATTCCATGGACAAAACACATGTGAAAATGCAGTGTTGCTGTTACAGCTACAGCTGCAACACCAGACTACAATCGACCACTTGTCCAGTTTCGTCCAGTTCTTTCCTCTCCTCAGATTCAATTAACACTATGAGGCTGCCATGGCAGCAGTTCTCGCTCCCAACAGCTTGGGCAGAGATGGACGCTAACAAGACCCCAAATTGACAACGATGGTTGCCAAGTTGACACGAGATGAAAATTCATCAATACTTTATTGGGCAAGCGGTTGAGAGCTCCCCAGCCGGAGAACAACCATGTTGTCGCACCCGATTTTAACGATAAAATAGAATGCACAATTTTATGTGCGTCCAGAGATTAGTCACACACATAAGTCGACAAATTATAAATAGTATTGTCATAAGTGTTTATTACATTACGAATAATAAGACATAATCTTCACATAAATGTAGCGGAAGTATAAAGAAAAATCTCTCGCAGAAGCTCCATATCACAGGGACGTCAACTAGTTGACCACAAGTCTAGTAATCATCAGGAAAGTCGTCATTACCATAGCCATCTGTTACCCCATCCGGGATTTTTATCCAAATAATAAAAATTAACAAGCGTAAGTACGTGTCGTACCCAACAAATGTAACATGGGGTTCATGAGGCTCAAAAGGCTTGACACAGGTTTAACAACATTTAGCTTTTAGTTGTCACCATTTTAACATAAGAGTAGCAACAAGTTGTTTCAATCCCAAAGTAAAACACACGATCAATGTAAACAAGAATAATGAATAGCATAAACGGATAATTCTTAGTGATCATCTATTCCATAAGGGTCCAAGGCCGCTCGTGACCGTGAGTACGGCTGATATACCAGTTTTACACTCTGCAGAGGTTGTACACTTTTACTGTGAGTCGTGATACCTATATATCCGGGTTAATTACTCCTAAAACATTTTCAAGGTGAGCAGGCAGGGATCACTATGAAGCCTTTCAAAGGTTCGTCTAACAAGTTAGGGCCATTAGATTCACTCGGCAAAGGCCCTGTTCGCTTGGAGGAATCTGGAGAAATTTGTGAGACCGTGAATAGTATTTTTCAGCCGGCTACAGTGAATTCCGCCGGAATTTTGTACCAGCCGAACGCCCCCAAATAGATATAGGAACCCCCTGTCGGCAATATACATAAGAGTAGAGGCTGTCCTATACCCGATTCGGCAAGCCATTTTTATGCCAATAAAGGTAACCTCTAACAAGCTAGAAAAGGTCCTCATACTGAGCTAAAGCCAGAGTCATGTAGCCCTCACAGCTGTACTGTAAGTCCCGAATATTCGCTTACAGATAAGTCCTTAGGGAGAGGAATCTAAAGCATTTAGAAAGTAGCTAAATACTCCAGCCTCCTGTTTCCAAGTTGCTAAAAAGTCATGTTTTAATGTCTATTGCATATACCATTAGTCAAGTTACAATATCATGATTTAATTGAGCACTAATAAAGCTACCCAATGCATATCCCATAGGAGACAATGTATAAATTCAATTCTAGGGAATCCCTATTAAGGTGACACATGCAACATGAATTAAATGTATTAAAGTTGATAAAAAAATAAGGATAATCCCATGCTATACTTGCCTTGAACAAAGTGCTCTTGCTGATCCTGCTCATCAAAGTAGTACTCTTGTTCGCTCACGTATTGCTTACCGTCTATACTCGATAATCACAGCAACATACAAGCATCTAGAAGCAATCATGCATAGTAAATAAAAGCTATAGATTAGATCAATACACCAATCAGCATAAAATCAAGATGAAAAGTTTGTAAAACGAATCTACGTCTCGCTATGAACACACAGACGCGAAGATCACAAAAATCAGAGCTAAAACGAAGAAGTTATGAATTAAACAATATTTCCTTTAACAAAATAATAGATTAAATCTAACCTCGAATTTTAAAAGTTGAAAATATACTTAACAGTAGTATAAACATGTATATTACGCAATTACGAACCTAACGTGACTTAGACGGACAAATCGGAGTTAAAACAAAGATTTTATGGCTAAAACAATATTAGTGGCAAAACTGTAAATAAATGAAACTTGATTTTAGAATTTAAATTAATAAAATCGGGTTTTAAACCGAAACAGGGACTGCGGCATGAAAATAAATAAACACAGGGGCTCTATAACAAAATTGCAGGGACGACGGGTTAAAATCCAAATAATTATAAGGGCATTTTTGCAAAACGACAGATAAAGGGGTAAGTTCTAATCTCAGCCCTTGATTTTGGATCGGACGGTTGGAAATAAACCAAAGAGAGAGAGCGGACGGCAAGGCCGGCGGCGAGCTCCGACAGCGGCGCCATGGCCGAAGGTGGGCGGCGCGCATGAATCATGGCCTACGGACCACGGATTCACGAGCCGAAGACACCGGGAGAGAGAGGAGAGCAAGGCGAACACGACTAAGTAGCTTAGCGCGGCGTGAAGCGAACGAGAGCGGCGTGGTGCTTGGCGAGGCGGGCGGTGATGGCAGTGGTGCTAGGGTTGCGGCGACTGGCGCAATGCGAGGGCGGCGGCTGACGCTTTAAGGCTAGATGAGGGTGGCGCAACGCAGGGGCGCTATTTATGGGGCGGGGAGCCTTGGCGCGCACGGCAAAGGAGGCGTGGCGGTCGCAAACTCCGGGGCAGCGCGGAGTCGGGCAGCGGCGGTCGTGACCGACGCGGATAAGCGCGAGAGGTTGAAGAACGGCGCTGACGAGTGGGGCCGGTTGGTCAGCGACTCAGGGCGTGGGAGAGGAACGGCGCGGGCGTGCTGCTGGGCCGCTGCGGAGAAGCGGAGGCCGCACGTGCGAAGCTGGGCCGACGCCTGGGCCAACAGGCCGAAAAGAGAAGGGGAGGGAGAAAAATCCTCTGTTTTTCTTTTCTAATTTTCCAAACCAATTTTGAAATAAAATTCAAATTAATTTAAAGTTTGATTTCAAACCACACAGTTCAAAAATAATATGCAGCAGCATGAATGCATAGACATGTATGTAGACCTATATTTAATTTTAATTTTAACCAAGTTATTATTTTTCGAAATTTCAATGCTCACAAAATACATAATGGGCGCGTTCGGCTGGTCTGGAAATTTCAGACCAGCCGGCTGCTCCGGCTGCTTCTCCTCATATGCTACAGTACAACTTCCAGCCGCTACAGTATTTCTCTCTCACATAATCAGCCGCTACAATGCTTTGGCTTCTTTTTTCAGACAAGCGAATAGGGCCAATTAAATTATTTTCTCCTATTTTAAAACCACGTAATTTTAGGGTGTTACACATTTCGTCGTCTACTCCAGCTGATCCAGCTGAAGATCCTGCCTGAGCAAGTGAGCAGAAGGCCAGAGGCCCAGGCCGCGCCAAGCCACGCTCCAGGACATGGACGCCCAACAGTGGCTTGCTACAGCCACAATATCAGGCTCAGAGATTCAGTTGTGCACCACGTTTACAGACAGTTCACTGAGTGACTGGCTCCAGGGACCACCGGCCGCTGCCGGAGACGATGGCCCTCATCGCCATAGCGTGGCGACAACAATGGCCTGGCCAAGCTGAAGACAAACAGGCAGAGTTAAAGCCGAGTGCCATGGCATCAACCCTACCAAAGATGCTCATTAGTGCTGGCCATTAAACAAGGACCGTATACATATATGCATATCACTTTCAGCAACACGGCAACTGCACAATTGCAGTGATCCACAGCACCAACAGCCAAAGGAAACCCGGTCAGATGATAGGATGAGCTCCAATAGATCTGACTCAGAGACATGATATTATCACGTGTGGAGGCCCTTCCCTTACTATGGATGGACGTCGAGGGTCGAGGTGGGCAATGGCCAATGGCTGCACTGCAGAGCATCTATTGCTGGTGGCAGGAGATTGATGTTCATGTGTACCCATAACACCAAAAGGTAACCAGAGATTGCAAATGATGACGCATAACGACGACATTTCAAGAAAATGATAACGGTTGGGTTCTGCAGGGGGACAAAATGCACAGGAACTAGGGCAGGACTGATGAACGGAAACCAAGGACTTGTTTAGTTGGCGAATTTTTTTGGGAAATAGTAGGTAGCATTTTTATTGTTATTTAGTAATTAGTGTCCAATCATAGTCTAATTATGCTTAAAAAATTCGTCTCGTGAATTTCGTCTAAACTGTGTAATTAGTTTTATTTTTTATTTATATTTAATGCTTTATGCATGCATCAAAGATTCGATGTGACGGGGAATCTTGAAAAATTTTGTAAAATTTTGAGAACTAAACAGGCACCAACTATTCATGGACATTCATGTTTGGTCACCTTGTTCGAGGTAGGATAACGATTATATGGCTACCAATCAGCCATTCTTCGGATACCAAAAATGCTATTTTCACTTGGGCTGTAAAAAACTGAAAACATCAATTGTTGATATACAGCCTTGGATTTAGCATATGTGCACATGTGAGCTCGTGTTCCATGGCCTGTCCTATGAACAGTCAAAACAGCAATCCTTGCTGGCAGGAACTTGAAACCGACCACAATGATTAAGTGATCCATATCAGTGGAACCAATCACCTGTGCAGGTGATGAATTACGCAAAATTACAACTACAAGGAAATAAAATCATCACCGGATGACATGAGGTAAATCGCTGACAAAAACTATTCCTCTGGAGCTGTATATCAATCAATTGACAAAAAACATAGTTTGTGTGACAGTGAGAAATTTTGGGCAAATGATAGAGAAAATAGTCAAATATTCTCATGCAAAACAGGAACATCACTAACACAAAAGAGCGATATCAGAAGTCGATTATGATGGGCAGATTCATAGGTTATACTCCCATTAGCAATGGTATAGGTAAATGCAAAATTTTATGTCAATTGCTTCAACTCTACAAAGAAATTACAGGAAAAAACAACCAATTTGATGGTTGCAAAACTGAGATATGCTCACACCACCCCACTACCATTCCACTAAGGCAGCAAAAGCTGTTCAGATTATCACACCTCAAACTAAACAAGAAAGGAAAACAGTGGCTTCTATATCCAAACGTGCTCCTTGCGGTACTCTCTTACAATGACTGGTACACTAGTAGGTGGGAGCTGCGAGAGCAAAAAAAAAAAGTCATCAATTCAATGGACCAAATGGCAGAGTTCAATTGATATATTGCAAAATATGAAAGATATTTTATAACTGGCTCTGTGATAAGACATCCAAACCTAATTAATGAGTCAGAAAGGTTATGGCCTTACGAGGGAAAAGGCATCCAAAGACACAAGAAATAGGCAGCCTTTTACAAGGGAACAGAAAAAAGAGAAACAACCTGTGCTTGCTAAATAGACTGCTAATGCTTTTATAATGGGGGAACACCGACTAATGAAAGTAACTAGATACAAATCGTTCTCCACATCATATAGTCTTGTCATCATTCATGCAGTATGAAGCCATACATCACTGAGCACAATAGTCCTTCTATGGTCCTGTTTGGATCCATTAGCTACTAATAGTTAGCTAGCTAATAGCTCATAGCTAATATTAGCTAGCTACTCCCTCCATTCCAAATTATAAGTCATTCCAACTTACTCGGAGAGCCAAAGCATCTCAAGTTTGACCAAAATTATAGAGAGGATTACACAGATTTATGACATCAAATAGGTATACTATGAAAATATAATTGAAGAATCTAATGATACTTATTTGGTATCACAGATGTTATTATTTTATTATATAAATTCGGTCAACTTGAGATGCTTTGACTCTCCAAAAAAGTTTTATAATTTGGGATGGAGGGAGTAACTATTAGTTGCTATTAGCTGGTTTGCCTCAACTAGTGAGATAGTTGTTAGTTGGTATTCAGCTTGGACCCGTTCAAAGGAGCTAATTATTAGCAACTAACTATTAGCTCTATGGATCCAAACAGGCCTTATTATATCAATATTTTCAAAATGTAAGGGGAAAACACATTGCCTCAGCAAGTAAACGTACTGACACTATAGAAGGGTTGCAACAAGCAGAATATGTGTTTGTATGCAGCAGATTAACTGAAACTCAAACATATGATTATATATTTCATAATGTCATAACTTTTAATGTGGGGTTCATAGTTCATCTATATGATGCACATACCGTACAGCACTAGATAATAGTATCAACTAACAACTCATTATTAGCAAGTAAAAACAAACAATTTGACAATATAACGGGAACGAGCAAGATCTGTTAGGGTATGTGCAATGCAAGTGCACTTAAAGAGATGCTTAAGGTGAGAGAATAAATAAACATCTATGAAACAGCCTTAGCTTACAATGATAGATTTGTTTAATAATGCCTAGATAGCCAAGAGCAAGGTTAAGCATTGAAACTGCAATATAGATCATCTATGCCTTAAACATTTTTCACACTAATTTTAAGCGCCTCGGCGCTTTAAGCCGGTGCAAGTGTCGGGGCCTGCCCGAGCGTCTCAGGCTGCATGCAAGCACCCAGACTTACATGTCCTGCCCTCCACCATGGCAAACAGATACGCAACTACAGGTAAGCGCCCAGAATTGTATGCGGCATTAGTGATTTGACTGATATTATGGGGTTGTGTTCCTCATTGCAAAAGCATAGACAAATTGGCAGCTCAAAGCTGTAAAATCAAAGTGGAAATACCCCCTTTGTAGTTGACAACATGTTCAGTATATGGTAAAAGAATGTCACACTTAACTGTTAGAAGCATTAAGCAATTAGAATAAATGTAATATGATTTGCTTGTAATTATAAGCACAAAGAGTCAAGTGAGAAGATGAAGCACGTCTTACCATTCCATAATCTGTTATGAGCATTGAAACATAATCGGAAGGGGTGATATCATACCTGCAGGTGCACGAAAATGATTTGATTAGATGCAAATTAACAAAGGAATCATGAACTATAACACCTGCAGGAAACAATGCACATACCTAAGATTCAGAAGGTGAAGATTTTCGTTCTCAGCCCAGTTTTTGAGATGGCTCAAACTTTCATCCCTAGGAACTCTTGAAATAGCATCTGGGTCACCTGAGTAGATATCATATCATGTCTTGTGTGGTTCCTTAACAGGAGACTAAACAAATAACTTACAGTAAGAAGAGCAACAATAACATACCAAGTTCATTAAAGCATATAGAATCGAGTTGAACCCTCTCATGAAACTTGTATGCCTCACAGCACACTAGAACAGGAACTCCAAAAGCATGTGCAACCATAGCAACCAAAGCTGTCCCAACTCTGGAGTAGACAGTACCATTTGATAGTACTGAAGAGGCGCCCAAAAACACTCTTGTAACCTCATGCATGATGTATGATACAGCATTTATGTGTGTATATGTGCAACTGATACCCTTTGCAACTAATCGGCGCAACAATCTTTGTCCCTCATGGTTTGGACGAGAATCTACCACCACAACACGAAACTTCTTTCCAAGTTCATGAGCATGGTCAAAAATCATTTCAACAACAGAGGCTGACCCAAATGTCAATAGGACATCGTCATCTCTGATTTTTGTGACAGCATGACTAACAATGACCTTATCTGCAACTATTATCTTCTCATTTATAAAGCGATCAATGTCAGATTGAAGACTAACTTTAGCTTCTGACTCTGACAATGCAAGTGGTAGCTTGGTAATCCTGTTCTTCAAAAATCTAATAGAGTTGCCCATGCTGATTGAAAGAGGCCTGCACTCAATGAGAAATGACACGTAGCTACTGATTTTAGCAGTAAGATCCCTATTCAGAATTTTTTCAGCAGGCATGGAGTAATCATTTATTGCCTCTCTGAATGCAAGAAGCATTGCTATACAGCGAGCATTGCCACCCGATATGTCACCAGACAGATACTGAAGTCCAACCTGAAACGTAACACAGGGGACATAAGATACTTGGTGTTCACCATATGACAATAAACCGTTTACCAGATAAGTACCCTCTACTCAAAGACACATGAAAAGAAAAAGAAAATTCTGTTTACACCTATCCATTTTATGTGAATTGTGCTGCCCACAGAATCAGTAATATAACATGAAACAAATCACAATTTTAGGTTGATCGATATAACCATTATTTTAAATTTTATTTCAAGAGAACTAAGCACCTTGGCTAACCCCCCACCCTTCTCTCTCTCTCTAAAATAAGAATAATCGTAGGTTTCTTTTACAGTACATTGGCAACATGGTAGCTAATAATTACCTTGTACACAGAAGGATGCATTAGATCAGGTTGAAGAAATTTTGACTCAAGGTCAGGAAGTTGAGTGCCGTGTGCATATTGAGGCAGATGTCTGAACAGTTCGACCCTGTTTCGAGCTTCTGATTGGCTAACAACTGAACGCTTCTTTGCTTTCACCACCCGATGTGCATCATCAAATTGCATACGGGATTGAGGAATATCTTTTTTTCTATCTTTGTCAGGTGGGCGTTCACCAGTCTTCTTATCAGAAGCAACTGGAGGGTTAACTTGGTTCACATCTTTCTTCAGAGATGTCTTTGCTGTCTTGGGTTGCTTTGATATTTTGGTGCTAGCATCAGAAGCCATGGCTGTTGGTTTTAAACCTGCAATTTTTCACAAAGACATAAAGTTTGTGTGCAGACAGGTCAGGTGAATCACTGTGAATGATACCAAATGCAAACAGACACTGCCCTTCCATCTAAAACGAAACTACTCATTCTTTTCTTTCAAGTAAAAGACTTAGTTTCACTTTAGATTTCCTTGATAAGATGGTCTGGGGATTTAGTGTTCTTACTCCCCTTGTAAAAATACGTGGAGTTCTTATATTCACCGAGACAATGTAAAGAATGAAAGCAGATCAACTACCTGCCTCCTTGGCAGCAGCTTTGGCAGCACGCTGAGACTCCTGAATGGCACGTCTCTCTGCTTTAGAAAGCTTTGGTTTCTGTGCAACTGAAGTTGGACCATGTTCATTCTTTGTTTGAGTAAGATCTCTCTTGTTTGGCTCTGAAATAAATAACAGAAGCAAATTTCTGCAATAAATAACCATAGAAAAGCAATTCTTCAAATGAATGCTGATAGACATAGTGTTGCTGTTTCCATGCTTAACAAATACTACATGTTATAAACCAAGGCGAGTGATCCTACAATGTGAGCCATTTTGCACAATCTGAATTGCACATGAACAGACACAATACGGATACCTAAAACATAACTAATGATTCACAGTATGGTCTTTATAGCTACCAGCAGTGATTTTGCTAACAGCCTAATACAGTCACCATGATTCATGAAAATAAATCATTGCTGAATCATGCATGCGGTCACGCGGAATTGAGTTTCACTACTGTACAACGAATGCATTTGTGACTTCATCACTTTAATGTCCATTCTTAACATGATCCTGGTTTGCCTAACATACTTCTGGTCCGGCCAACAGCGAAAAACAACTATGGGTCAGCATGAAGCAACAATCTCTCAGTTGGATAATAAATTACTGGAGTGTTTGGTTTGCAGAATGGGATGATCCATCATCTTACAGTTCCTAACACTTTTGTTTGGTTTGGGAGTGGAATGGGTTGATGCATCACTCCATCTACACGGGGGATTTTGATCAGTGCTTATTTGTGATATGCCTGCTCCCTTGACGGTATTCCCAGCAATACAGCTATGCCTAATTACAAAATTTCACAACTATCTCTAGACAGGATAGAATCCAATTTTCTGACTACTAGGTATATTCAGCTACTAGAGTCATGGAGCAGTCGCGCATGGCTGTGAGCGATAGAAGACACAGAAAACCTGTACGTAGAGTTGTAGACTGCAAAGCTGAGAAAGCACGTACCTGGCAATGCGGGAGGGGGTGGGCGCGCCCAGGACACGTCGATATCGTCGTCGTCGGCGTAGTCGTCAAGGTCGGAGATCACCTCGAGGAGATACGAGGAGGCCGGGGGCGGGGACGAAGGCATGAGGGACTCAGACGCGGGGGCGGGGGCGGGGACGGGGATGAGCGGGGGCGGGATCATGACGGGGGAGAGGCCGTCGGACGCGGTCGGCGACGCGGCCGCGGGCGCCACGGGCCCCCGCGCGGGCTCGGCGGCCGTGACGAAGCCCACCTGGCGGAACCGCGGCTCCACCCCGCCCGACGCGGCGCGCGACGGCGGCGCGCGGCGGATGTCCATCGGTTCGGGGCGGCGGCGAGGGCTGGGATTCGCGAGTTTGCGCACGCGAAGACTTGAGACGCAACGCGGAGGGACAAACTCGGAGGCGACGGATCGTGCTCGGGCTGGGCCGTGTGCGGACGTAGGTTAGCCCACGGTAGAGGGATTGGATTATTCGAAGAGGCCCAGTAGTGCGACGATGCGGATAATCCGAAGGAAGGCCCTAAAGCTTTCTGCTTTGATTCTTCAAGTGGTGGGCTCAGGCCTTCAGATGATTAATTCCCTTGGACCTCCTGGTGCGAGCGCAGAGGACGGGCCAACCACGCGTCGGAGTTCCGGCCCATTACTTGGAGTTGTTGTGGCATGGGATTGATGATGTGCATCACGCCTCGTGCATAAAATTTTGGAACAGTGCTCCTCTCGTAAGCACAACCTACCCGGCCAAGTTGTTATGGTTCATCTGTGTGCAGCACGCACACTTTGCAAAAAAAATGGAACAGAGTTCAATTTACCTTCCTCAATTATCGCGATGTTCGATTTTTCTTCCTCTACGAAACTAGTTTTTTAATTCCCTCTTAACTTTTCAAAAATCATTCACTTTTACACCTTTGGCTTATATATGTTTGGTCGAACTTAAGATTATTCGGCTCCTCTGAGAACAAGATTCTTTTTTTTTTAGGATGGAGGGAGCAGCTCCACAGCAATTATGAGAGCAGCAGCTGTAGAGCTGCTAGCACATGAACTGAATGGAGCCAGGAAGTGAATGCTGCCTGAAGAATGTACAGTGCCATTTGGCATGTATAATTTGGCGCACCGTCGCATGAACAGTTATACACTACAGGGTGGCTGGCTGGCTGCGTGCACCATATCATTGGTGCATGCGACAAAGAGCTCAGATTTTTTTTTTCAGTGGCCTAGCTAGCACTAGCAGGGCTAAAGGCTAGTTACTTCTAGTACTACTAGCAAGGACGGAGGTTAGCTCGCTCGTACGATCGACTTGCAGATCAGCCTGCACGAGCCAATAAGACGTAGCAACGCGAATAAAGCTAGCCCCATGCATGTACTTCGCCTGCATGCAAACTCATGCTGCTGCTGATGTGCATCACTGCATGCATGCCTCGGATTGGAGAAGAGCTGCTACTTTTTGATCAGTCGTACTCGTAGCAGGCAGGCATGCATGATGATGGATGGACACAGGACACCGATGGGCGATGGGCGATGGGCAGATGGCTAAAACCCAATAAAGCTCCTGGCCTGCACGATGGAAAACACGTACTCTCCCCGTCAAAACAAAACATAATTCTAGCTTTAAACTTGGGTGGTGCTACACGCGTGCATGTGATCGATCGGTGAGGGTTTCAGAGGGCCGGCCGGGTCCACCGTACCGCCTTATTATATATCCACACACATTGGAAGGACGTGACGTGAGTACAAGCTAGGAGTCGTCCACCGCCTTATCCACACACACATTGGACGATCGGAAACGACGTACAGTACGATTGGACGTGTGTACAGTGGCCTGGCTGTCAGTCTGTGTACAGTACAGTACAGTGCTACGTCGTTTCAGCTGCCTACGCCGGCCGCCTGCTGCGTACGTGTGTGTGCATGGCCCATGCATGCACTATACATACTGCACTTACGTAGGAGTACTACGTACTTTTCACGGTGCGTATGCCACTGTACGTACGTGCACGCAGCCATGTGATGTGGCACACACGAGCACGCAGTAGCTAGCATCAGGCCGGCCGGCAGCGCTAGCTATAGCCTGCGCCCTGCAGGTGTAGTGTCAATCATCAGCTGCAGTTTAGGACGACGACGACCTGGCGCGAATGCATATGTATTGTACGATGCACGCAGGACCATTCTATCCATTATCCATATGCATATGCCCCATGTTACACACTGCCTGCTATTAGTAGGTGCACCTGCATGCTGAATGCTGCAGGACGGGTCACACGTACATACGTGACCAATAATGGGGGGCACGAATAGCGTGCACACATAGGAGTATAGAGTAAGCGGCCGGAAGCAAGCTAAGTTATATGTGTACATGTGCCTGTGTGTAATGCATATATGCACGTACATATATATACTCTCACCGGTAGAAAACAGAGCTTTATTCCCGGTGGGGAACCCCCTCTAGTCCCGGTTCCCCACCCGGGAGTAAGCATCCGGACTACTAAAGGGGTCCTAGTCCCGTCAGAACCGGACAAAAGGGGCACAAGTGGTAACACCAACCGACTAAAGGTCCTCCCAGCTTTAAAAAAATAAATGCCTCCCACCGCTGCGTCCGTGAGATTCTAACGCAAGACCCCATGCATTGCCTCGCATAGCTTAGCTTGGTGATCACCTACACACAACACATCTAACAATGGATGTGATGCTTTCTTTGAACTAACTCACATCGGGGACTTTAGGTTTGGTAAGGTGTAATCAAGCATGAACTAAAAGGTCCTTTAGTCCGAGTTGGTGTTACCAACCGGGACTAAAGGTTGAGGACTTTAGTCGGTTGGTTCAGGCCTTTAGTCCCGGTTGATGTCTCCAACGGGACTAAAGGTCCTCCGCCATCGTGCTAGCGGAGAAGTTGATTGAGGGACCTTTAGTCCCGGTTGGAGACACCAACCGAAAGACTAAAGGTCTCTCTAGTCCCGGAAAAAGTAAAAATGCCGGACTAGAGAGCCCATTTTAGCATCGGATGAAAGGTCTTTCTCTACTAGTGTCTATATACCTGCCACGCACGCGATATGATGTACTGATGTTTGTCAACTAATAAGAGTATAGTAAGACTCTGTAGCTAGCTAGCTATTGCAATGTATATATTTTTCACTCAATATATATATCCCTACTAAGCGCTTTGTAAAAAAAAGAGAGAATTGGTGACATCATGTGAGTGCTTTATATATATAGTGACGTCGATGCATTGTCGTCATACTCACAATGTTGTCTTCTTTTTTCGATCTAATAACACTCTAAAGAGAGAGAGAGAGAAAATGTATTAAGGGAGTTGCTATATTTCAGGTGACTGAATTTTTAAGCAACAATCCTGTTTTTAGGCAAAGCCAACTAGTATAATTAGAAGGACAACACCCGTAAGAGATAACTTATTTTTTTCTATTTCCAAGCAATGACAAAATTACATAATGTCTGGACAACAACAGAAAAAAAAAATCAGCAACATGAAAATATAGGAAAAGTGTAATCAGATCAACGTGCGTGCTTGGTGATCAGGCAAAAAAGGCAAATCGCGTGCTTGGTGATCACGCACTAATCGTCAAGGCTGCGTTCAGTATAAATAGCAGTTAAGCAGCAAACACAAACTAAAGCAGTTTTTGGGAGTACCCACACTTGCTTTTAGTTAGTTATACAATGCAATGACCGACTAACGGGGTGATCTAGAGATAGTGCTCAGCATGTCACGCTAACAGCGATCGAGGTGAGATCCAATAATAACCAACACTTAGTCCCCACACCTTTAGTCCCGGGTCTGGGAACCGGGACTAAAGGTCACCCACGGAAGAAAAAAATAAAGGAAATCCTCAAGGCCTCGCTTGCTCTACGTGAGATTCGAACCCAACACCTCTCTCCTCGCACGTAGGTACATTATCAACTCAACTACACACCACTTGCATGCAGTCATGTGAGCTCTCCTTTTGAATAGACCGTGGAGACCTTTCCCGGGTAAAGACCTTTAGTCGGTTGAAGACACCAACCGGGATAGGTCATCTTTTAGTCCCGGTCATGTGTTACCAACCAGGGACTAAAAGTTGGTGAACTTTTACATACCCGGTTGGTGACACCAACAGGACTAAAGATGACTTTTAGTCCCAGTTGGTATTACATAACCGGACTAAAAGTCCAATAAGTCCCAACGCAAAAAAATATCGAGACTAAAGGCTAAAATCGAATGGGTGAAAGGTCTGTTTTCTAGTAGTGGAATAATCTAGCCTCGCCTTGTTAATAATATATGCGCAGACATGGCGGGGACCTTTATGAGACACACAACCGGGACTAAAGGCCACACCTTTATACGATTGAGATATATATATACAATAGTACAATAATAAAATCCAAATACAGCTACTACTATAACCCAATAACCCAACTGCCCAAGGCCCAGGGGGCGTAAGAAGCATGCTGCATGCACTGATGGGTGCGTGGTTGATCTGCTGGATAAGTTGGGCCACACACCCTGATAATGTTGGCCCAGCAGCAGGCCCACTAGCTACCTCGCCCTACCCATAATATGCAGCAGCATCTATGCATTCCTCAAAAAAAAAAAAAAAAAACTGCCTCCGTGCATATGCTTTGCTACGTAGGTCCCGCTAGATATATAAATCTCTCTCAAAAATGAAATACAGTAACTCTTCTTGTGGTTGTCCAGCAGGAGCAGGCAGCCAGGCACCTTTGCAATCCCAGCTAGGGCTAGTTTAGCCGGCACCGGGCCCATTCATCTAATCTCGTCGTACGTCGTCTACGGTGAGGCCTCACGCGTAACTATTGTCAGTAAAAGTCACGCGCGTGCATGGTGATTTATCAGCTAACCACCTTCACCCTGTTCGTTTGCAGCAGCATCTATATCAAAAAAAAAAAAAAAAAAAACGATCGTGGATTATAAATCTCTCTCAAAATGGAACAGTAATATTTTTTCTCATACCAAATCTCGTCCATGGTGAGGCCTCACGCGTAACTATTGTCAGTAAAAGTCACGCGCGTGCATGGTGATTTATCAGCTAACGACCTTCAGCCTGTTCGTTTTATAATCCACGATCACCAAAGAAGAAGCCAAAACAAACGAACGGACTGCTTATTAGTAGTTACGGAATATATATGCTACCCCCAATTGCTTTCAGTTACAAAATGACTACTGCAGTGAGTGCTCATGTGACGCTAGCTAGCTAATGTGAGGTCCGGCCAACAGATCCGAACGTTCACATAGCCCTTCTTGTGCAAAGTGACTCTGGCTGTATCATATCCTTTGTTTTGTACGTTCGTTCATGCAATTAATATTGAAAACTTGTGCCCGTACGTTTTTCAACCAAAGCATACATACTTTACGTACGCCTCTTTTGAAATAAGGTGGTACGGCCATTTGATGGCTACTCTTTATTTGCGCATACTTGTTTCATGGTTGGTTATTTCTTCGTTAACTTTTGCCCATTTGATAGCTGCTACGTCCACAACCTAGTCTTTACCAAACCCTATAGTAGTTTTTTTTTGGTGATTTCCTATAGCTATTTACATCCTCCTAGTACACGATACACGGTTTGTTCAGTACATGACTTGCTCATTATAAACATGGACATCATTTCCGATGACTTGGTTTGTACAAGAACTGAACACATCACGCTTGTATATACAGCAAAGATATCTTTTGCGCGTGTGATTTTGTTCACTCCGTCACACGATTTATTGTCCGTTGGATCTGCAGTTTGGCCGCATCGTGGACATCCATATTTTCTGCGGCATCGTTCTTTGGTTCCGCCCATCCCCAAGTGGGTCCCATCTGTCATCATGTTTTGGAAAACACATCATTTACTCCCTGCCGTTCTAGTATTCATTCGTGCGTTCAATTCCCCATTTCTCTACGTCTTTTCTCCTCCTCAGACCTCATGTGGGTGTGGAGCGAGCTCCATTTTTGGTGATTCGACTTCGTCTGTCTGTGAGTCACTGCTGGAAACTCGCATTCTTATGTGTGTGCAAAAACACACAGAAAAATGCGAATACCGTCAGAATTTTGCTGACGGTGTACCCTTAGAAAAATACACACGGAAATATAATGACAGAAAAATTCAATTGTTCTGTGTGTTCGCCGTCAGAAACATTTTTTTCTGTGGGTGTTACACGCACAGAAAAATTATGTTCGGCTAGATTAAAAATAAAATTTCTATGCATTATTCCTCACAGAAAAAAGAAAAACCCGACAAAAAAATCAATTTTCTGTTAGTGTTGTCTCGTTAGAGTTGTAGAGGTGCACTCATAGGAAAAAATTAAAATTTTCTATCGGGTTAGGTGAACGCACAGAAAAACTTTATTTTCCTGTCAGGTGTTAACAGACCAATATACACTTACCCATGCAGCAAATTGGATACAATAATTATTTGGAAACAGTAGCAACAACATATTAAAATATAGACTGTTCATACAGTAATTTCATCATAACATATAAAGATGGAGTCCAAATGTTCAGCACATTCATTCATAGCATCCAGGCTACATGTAGATGATGTACAAATGTTCCGGCATCAATACATTCAAAAGCATTACCATCTCATCTCAGCAGTTCATGAATTTTACTACTTCAGTTTCCCTCTCCTCAGTAATCATGGGGGTGCAGAGCAGCGAAGGCCAGGTGATGTTCTCCTCCATCGCCCTGCTGCAGCAGAGGTTCAGGGAGCTAGAGAGGATCAGGGAGAAGTGGGAGGAGAGGCTTCTCCACGTGCTCGCCCCCTGCCCTGCGGCCACCGCCTCCCCGAGGGAGATGCCCGTGAAGTGGTTCTTCCACCCGGAGCTGCTCTACCCGTGCAGGCCGCTGTGTGACACCACTGCCGCTGTCGCCGCCGCCTCCTTATTCCCGGCCGTGCCAACCACTGTCTGTGAATGTAAAAGCTTCCAGCTCCACGGCGATAGCAACCATTCTCTGTTATATCTGGATACTCATCACCAGAGGAATCATCAGAGCCAAATGCCCTGTATGGAAAATTGATTCTAATGAGAGTTATTTAACAAAAAAAGGTTTCATGGTATTGCATCAACAAAGAAAATTGAAGCTTTTAGTGGTGTCTTTCAGCTTTCAAGTAATGACAAGGAAAATTCATAATAGTTATCTATACTAGTAAGTTCTTAGAGGGAGATTTCTAGTGATGACAAGATAATCGTATAATAATAATTGACCTGGTACTAGAACTCTTGAGCAAACAGAGTACACAAGGAGTTGTAGCAATTACCTCAAGTTCGTAAGCTTGAGTTTTTTCTCTATCATCTTGGCGATCAGAACCTTCCTCCTGATATTCACCGTTTTCTTCTCTGTAATCTTTTTCAAGAATCACAAGCATTTTCCCACCTTCTTCTGGAATATAGCCAAAAGATGCACAGACAAAACCAGACACCGTCTCATACTGATGCCCCTGCCAAAAGATATTGTCCAAGTGTCTCAAGATATCAGCCAATCTACGAGAAACATGACAGAAACACACAGCACCATATAATGATGACTGCCAAGGGCATATCTCACAAACAGAACATTTGTGAATATTTTGTTGACCTAAATATTAAATGTCCAGTTTCCACCAAAAAATAGATATAATAACGTCATATCTGTATAGATTCTGCAAACCAGGCATCTCTAAATGATGGAACTCACATTTCGATGATCATCATACGGTGTCCACTCACAACAATATACACATGTCCAAGGGAATGCATAGCAACTGTAGAGAAAGCTAAGATCAAATGAGAAACAATACCTCTGGTATTTTGATACCAAGCTCTTCAGATAGGTGATCTATCGATGTATTTGCATCAACATCAAATGTTCCATCTCCCCGCCTTACTATATAGCCTGTTTTCTTCTGGATTTCCTCCTGAAAGGGTGAAAAACAGAGTAGCAGAAGGAATTGAGAGGCTGCCTAACCAAATGACAAATAACAACTAGCTTGTTACATGGAAAAATCCTTTGTTTTGACTAGGATACAGAAAATAGGAGTGAAGCAGCTGCTTCCAGAACTTGGAGAAGCACTGAGGCAGGAGATCTAATCTCTCCAGTTTTCAAAACCAAGCTAATGGAACTTCAGTTTGAGTTAGCCAGATAATCTTCAAGAGTCCTGTTAATTTCCACCATACTATATGTCTAACTATAGATTCAGGACACTGGATAGTTCCCAGCTGATCTGGTTCTAGGCTTCTCCACTTCTGGCTTATGAACCCTGCTTGTGTTATGGCCATGCCCACAATAATTCCAAATTCCAAGAAAATGCGATCACATAAATACCAAGAGCACACAAGTTGATAAACAAACACAAAACTCTTTGGAAGTTCACAAATAAAACAGTCCTCACTGAATGTCTCTTTTCAGTTTTTGTTCTGATTTGAGACACCCTAAAACAAGATTGTTGGCATTGATATTTGTTTAAAAAATACAAATATAATTTAAGAATACATTCCTACAAGGATCCAGCATACTAAGAATGCGATAATCTGTATTTTTAGTGTAAATAACTATATTAGTGTTTTCACCCTGGTTTTGCAGTGGCAAAGTTGACCTAAATATATTGGTAATTGCTACATGACTTACCTTAGGCTTGTTATATACCACAGGAAACTGGTTTAGGGCCTCATTGGAATGCAAAATTCTTCTAGAAACACAGGAATAAGAGAAATGTAGGAACAAACTGCCCTAAGGAATTATATAAGAATTTCACAGGAATCGGTTTATTTTTCACAGGAAAAAAGCAGGAACAGGAAATTCAAAAGCATTACCATCTCAACACCAAGGAAATATCTAAACTGTACTTATCAACTACTTCACTATTAAGTATCTACTAATCCATTCACATCAATTTTCAGTCAAGATGCCACTAGCAGAAAGGCCACTCCAATAATAATAGTAAGACTGTATTTAGAAAACAAATTACACTAGCTGGCTAGCTAGCTAAGAAAAAACAAAAGACTATATTCAGAAAACAAATTACACCTAGCTAGCTAACTAGCTAAGAAAAAACAATCATCAGTTTTTTCATTTATGATCATTAGAACAATCAGAACATGTAAACGGGCATATAGTAACCGGAAACTCATAAATAAGCAACCAGTGTCACAAGATCCGTTACCCCTTGTATTCTGCTATGTTTCGAGACACACAATCACAAAGAATGACTGCAAGTCAGATACCAAATGGAATTGACTACAACAAATTACACAGGAAAACATACTCTCAATGCAATAAAAACTAAATTTGCGGTGCAATCTCAGCCGAAAGATGGTGATTTTTGTTGCAATAATCACAGTGATTCAGGAAATGGGAATTTGCATCACAGATTGCACATAAAAAATACAACAACCAACAACCACCACCACGCCCCGCCGCCGGCCACCACCACCACCACCGCAGCCATCAGCCGGATCCGAGAGAGGGAGGGCCGGATCCGGCTGGGTGAAGAAGGGGGAGGGGAGGGGCACCCGCCAGGGAAGAAGAAGCGGAGGGAGGGCGCCACGAGGAAGAAGAAGGGGAGGGAGGGGGCCATGGGGAGAAGAAGGGGAGGGAGGGCCGCCGCCACCACCACGCCTCCACGCCACCACCACCACCACCACATGCAGCCACCCGGTCGGATCCAGGAGAGGGAGGGCCGGATCCGGCCGGGTGAAGAAGGGGGAGGGAGGGCACCCGTTGGGGAAGAAGAAGGGGAGGGAGGGGCGGCAAGCGGGGGAGACGAAGGGGGAGGGAAGGGCCGCCGCCACCACCACCACCACCACCCACTACTAAAGAACTGACATCTAGTCCCGGTTGGGAACTGGTTTTAGTCCCGGTTTCCCAACCGAGACTAGGTTCGAGACTAAACCACAACCGGGACTAAAGACCAACTTAAAAAAAAATAATGCCTTCCCACGCTGCGCCTATGAGATTGAACCCAAGACCTCCACCACCTGGCATGAGCTTACACCCCACCTACACAACACATCTAACAATAGATGGGATGCTTTCCTTTTGATCGGGGACCTTTAGTCCCGGTTGGTGAACCGGGAAAGGGGAGGGTTGGTGTTACTAAGGACTAAAACGGGAACCTTTAGTCCCGGGGGCAAAAAATACCGAGACTACTGCTAAATTGGGATATCGTTCTAAAGTCTGTTCTCTAGTAGTGACCGCAGCCACCGGCCGGATCCGGGAGAGGGAGGACCGGATCCGGCCGGGTGAAGAAAGGGGAGGGGAGGGGCGGCCGCCCGCCGGGGAAGAAGAAGGGGAGGGTGGGGCGCCGGTGGGGGAGGAGGGGCGCTGGAGCCGGGTGAAGAAGGGAGAGGGGAGGGGCAGCCGCCCGTCGGGGAAGAAGAAGGCAGCGGGGAGGGCGTGCGTGCGTAGCTGCGGCGGCAGCGCATCGTGTGCGTGCGTGCCTGAGGAGAGCCGAGCAGGCGAGTCCGCGAGTGCGTGCGTGCGAGGGTGTCTGGGGGGGGCGGCCGACGGGTTAGGGTTAGGACTTCTTTGTTTTTTTATTTATTCTATGCGTGCATATATTTTTGCTGTGCTTGCATATATTTTTCCTGTGCGTTTTTAAAGAACCAACATAATAAATTGTATTTTTCTGTGAGTGCTGATTTTTCCGTGTGTGTATTGTCACGCAGAGAAAAATCATATGGAACCGACAGAATAATCGTAATTTTTCTATGCGTACCGAAAAAAAACGCACAGAAAAATTTATCACCCACAAGGCAATTCAAGTTTCCAGTGGTGAGTTCATATGAAACTTGTAGATCTGGTCAACGCAGTTCTGATCTGTTGTTTACTGTCCTTAGGCTGTTGTTTATCTGTGTTTGATTTGTTTTGCGTTTCTCTTTGTTTCATCCGAGCATATTCCAAGGAGAGCAGTTCCGTCGCCGGCGGCGAGCTTTGTCTGTGAGTTCTTCTGCTTCTCTGCAGCGCCATCGCCGTCGTCCACCCCTCGCGCAGTGCCGTCGCCTTTGCGTATTTGCGGTGGCTGCTTCGATCCCTTGCCTAAGAGAGCATCAGACTCAACACCACGTCCAGTACCTAGAGGCAAGTGTGGAAGCCTTCATCTCTACCAGGCTGTCCTCAATGCCCCCACGGTCATCTTCAGCCTCGCAAGTACACAAAGAGTAGTCTAGCCATGGGTCGGCATGGATCTGAGGCCACCACGCCAAGTCCAAGGAGGTCGCCTTCCTCCATAAATGTGAGCTCTCTGCTTCTGGTTACCTAGTAGAAGCTGTGTGGATGGGCATGTTCCTCTTGGTCTGTATAATGTTGTTATCTGTTTGGTTTCTATATGTAATTTTTCTTCTGATATGATACACTAGGATCAGAAGCTGGGTTTTTCAAGTAATACTATGAGGAAATTTAGGTTTGTCGTAAGTGTTGTTTAATTTCTGCATGAAACTGCTTTTAGGATGCTGTCCTAGGGCATGTGGCGAAGTCTCAGATTTTATTTATTGTGAATGAGATTACATCTGACATCATTATTGATAGTTGCATGGATTAGTGGACTTTTTTCAAGGTTTCATTTTTGCATTGTTTTAGATGATTTATATGCCAGATGATTCTGTCCTTTGCTGGTACCATTGATTTGAAAGTTATCATATAGGGAGATGCTACGGTACATTCTTTACTTCCTGGGAGGTAATATTTCAAACAAATCTGAGCCATTGATTTCTTAAAATTTTTAAATTAATTAATTGATTAATTAATATGAGAAAAAAAAATTTTTTTTTTTCTGAAATCCCCCTTATCACGGCATGCATAAGTGGACGTGCAGCTATAAAATCCCCCTCATCACGGCATGCACAAGTGGACGTGAAGCCATTGATTTCTCAAATCCTCCCAACTCTATTAATTATGTATAATACAACTATCACTCTGATGGTACGATGCATATGAATCTGTATTTTTTTTAAAAAAAATTGTTCATTATACATACAGTGTGATGCTAACGTACATGTTTTTTCTTTAAAAGTGAGCAAAAACTTTTATGCGCTGTTAAGTGAAGTCACATTAAAGTTGTACAACGATCACGTTATATAATCAATTAAAAAAAAACTCTTATATGTGCTGTGATGTATGTAGATTTAGGAACAAGAACTTATACAAGCATAAAAAATAATCACGGTCATGTACGCACATGGATTTGGATACGAGACATTTACGGTCAGTACACGTGATTCGAAAATGAAATTACATGCACGAAATAACGCTCACACGGCCGCAGCTATGGCTAATTAAATTATTCCATGTCTAAAGTTACAAAATAAAAAAAAATTACTATATCTAATAGATCACATATGCATCAATTAGATCTAGAAAATAAAATTTGTATCTAAAAACTTTCCTTATGTATTTTGTTGGGGAATGACCACGAGCCGCGGAGGCCATAGAGTCTCGAGACAACGGAGACTAACAAGCGAACCAGTTTTTCGTGTGATGTGCAGGAAAGTTATAAGAAGGCCTCCACACTGATGGCCGCGTGAGGCGAAGGCTAGAGGTCACCCGGCAAAGGCGAGCGAAGGTCGCCCGGCGAAGGCGGAGGCCGCAGTACCACGAGCAAGAGGCCGCTTGGCAAAGGTGGAGGCCGCATGCCATGGGTGGAGGCGGAAGCTGGCTCCACCACAGCAGAAGGGGTCATGGCACGGAGGCGACCTCGGGCCAGGAATGGGATTCCCTTTGGGCCGGCAATTTAGGCCCAAGGAGACAAGGCGGTGCGGAAAAAGGAATGTCCAGTTTGCTCCGGGCCACCTGCACTAACAAGAGGATATTCAGTTGTAGGACAAAGATGTAAAAGAGAAAAGTAGTGAATAGCGCCCTATGAAAGGGGAGAGCTGAGGCTTGTTTGAGAGGTTGGTGAGTGCATTTATGAAACCCTAATTGAGCCAGGACCCACCTACCTCTTTCTCTACCTTCGTCTGGGGCATCTGACCGGGCGAAGGCTCACTCCATAACCCCTACTGGAAAGCACTACTTTCCAACATTGGCGCCCACCGCGTGTTGACCAAGCAAAACCCACGATGCCGAGGAAAAAAGCAGCCCCACCAGAACACCCGTGGAGCCTTCGACATGGGGACGACCTAGGCAAAATACCCGCAGCACTTACGCCAGTGCCCCAGAGGACCAAGTTGTGGAAGAACCCGCGGTCGAAGCTCAGCCTCCGGCAGCCAAAGATCAACAAGCCTCAGATCCCACCCCGGAGCAGGTACTCCAACAATTGTAAGCCCAGCTGCAAAGTACACAACAAGAAAGAGATAGACTGGCAGCAACCTTTGCCGCAAATCAGAGGGCAACACAGACATTATTACAGGCAGCAGAGATCAGGCAACAGTTGGCCGTCCTGTAGGCAGAAATTTAGAGTATGTATCCAAGCTAGCCCCAGTCTAACATTTCCAACCAGTTCCGATCAGCAGATCAAAGCCAGCCTAACCCTTCACTAAGTATGGCCGCCTAGCCAACCTTCGGCACACCGTTCAAGTCGCCACCATCCCATAGAGCTATAGATTCAAAATCCCCACTCTCTGAGGGAATCCAAACCTCACCTTGGCCACCATCTTGCAATCCCATTACCCTACCCAAATTCAATGGAAGATCATACCCCCGCTAGTTCATCATGAGTTTTGAGGCAGTCGTAGCCTCCGCAGGAGGGAATGACACTATCTTGGCCAAGTCATTTGTCATTGCAGCTGAAGGAGACGCATTGGCATGGTACTCAATGTTGAGGCCAAGCTCAGTATATTCATGGGAAGACCTCCGAGATAAGACCATCGCTAACTTCAAAAGGTTCACCATCGAATCTCTGACATCAATGGACTTATTTTAGTGCAGACAGAATCAAGGTGAAGCGTTAAGAGATTATTTTCAGAGGTTTGTGCAGCTTAAAGCAAAGGCACCAAATGTCCCAGAGGATGTGACAATTGAGGCCACAATCAAGGGCCTCCACATCGGAGTCTTCATGGCTCATCTAGCTCGAGAAAAGTCAAGCACTATACAAGAACTGTATACAGAGTTTGAGAAGTACTACAGGTCAGACAATGACCTTCGAAGAAGGCTGAAAGAACAAAATCAGAACAAGCAATACCAAACAAGTGGTAGGAATATTCAGAAGGGCAATAGAAGCCAAGGCCAATTGCACCCTCAGCAGACCTTTGGTCAACAAGTTTTTAACATAGAACAGCAAGGAAGCAGCCAACACCGGCAGCAAATGCCGGAGGTAGAACAAAACAAGCCATCACACAAGCAGTACAAAGGCAAGAAATACAATCAAAAGAAGAACTGGAACAAAAACCAAGAACCAAGATAGCGGAGGCAGTATTATTTCTTTTATGGAGAAAACAAAGGGCACATCACCAGAGATTACCCAGATGCGAAGAAAACTCAGGAAAGGATAAAAAACAGAGAAAACACTCAGCCTCCATCACAACAACCCACCAGGGAAGTCAACCACACCTTCGTTGCGCCTTCACAGTAGCCATATTGCCCAATCTACCCAAGTCTTAACTCCAATCAAATTCATCCATCCACCTTAGCAGCTGCATACTA